GCTCCCAAGAAGCTCTGCAGACGGTCCAAGAGGGCCCCGAGTCGCCGAAAAAACACTCGAAGACGGTCAAGATGGCCTCCAGATGGCCCCAGATGCCTCCAAGACGCCCCAAGAAGCTTCCAAGACGCCTCCCAAGATGGCCCCAAGAGGCCAAAATCGTCGATTTCCATTGGTTTTTTCAACGTTTTTGGCCTTCGCGTTTTTTCGGGCTTCCGACGCTCCAAGACGGCGAAAGAAGCCCCCAAGACGGCATCAAGACGACCCGAGAGGCTCCCAAGTGGGCCCCAACACGGCCCAAGAGCGCCTCAAAACGGCTCAAGAGGGCCTTCAGACAGTCCAAGAGGGCCCACAGAGGGGCCCAAGAAAGGCTCCAGACGGGGACCACGAACCTAAAATTCTAGCCTTCCGCCCCAAAAGGCGCCAAGGAGGCCCCAAGAGGCCTCCAAGAGGCTCCAAGAAGCCCCCAAGAGGCCCCCAACAAGCCCAAAAAAAGCCCCAAGCTGCCCCAAAACAGCTCCCCAGAAGCCTCCAAACTGCCTCCCGCAGGCCCCCGAGAGGATTCTCACGACGACGGCGCCAGAGGCTCCCACAACGGTCAACGAAGCCCCCAAGATGGCCCCAAAAAGGTGCCCAGCCTACGCCGTCGAGTCTGTCGCCGCCATTGTCGTCCTCGTCGTGTTCTCCTGCTCCTTCTCATCCTCCTCTTCCGCCCCCTCCTCCCGTCTCCCCTCTCAGCTTTCTGTCTCGTATTCCCTCCACCGGCTCACTTTTCACCTTCTCCGCCTTTGGCTGCTCCCCCATCCTCCCTCCTCCACGTCCCCCTTATCCATCCCGTCCCCAGCGGTCAGATTCCTCGCAACTTCCGTGCCTTGTCGCAATGCTCGTCACTTGGTTCCGCCGGGCGTTTCGGAGGGTCTCTCCGCGGCGCTCGTCCCGCTTTAAAACACTTCGCGCACACGAACTGTTTCGTGCGCGCTGCGAACGTCAACAGCCTCTTCACCCGTTTCGACTCATCTGCCACATCTTTCGCGGTGATGCTTCGCTGATCACAGCTTCTGCACGCTACTCTTGCTCCTTTCGTCTTCCGGTGCTCCTCCACTTGGTTGAGGGTCGAAAGGCTGACCTCCCAGAAGGACACCCCGCACCCGGGTGCACAGCACGCAAAGCGCTCGCAAAACACGCCCCAGACCACCGGCATCACGCAAACATTTGGACCCCCTACGTATCTGCCACCACCCGCGCGCGACACCGCACCCTCACACAAGACGCCGCTGGCCAGAAACTCCTGGCCTCGCAACAGTCACACAAGGGGTCGGCGGATGTGGCGTAAGCCTGTAGAATCAACATTTTTCTTATTTTTTCCTCTCGACATGGACGTCCTGTCGTCCACGGCGGTAATCCATTGCAAAAAATACCACAAAGAGCACACGCGCGCGTTCATGTCAGAATCCTACCGAACACCGTGTGTTTGCAAGCATTTCAACATAAAAACATCAAAAACCCAATGCTTTTTCACAAAAATTGTACAAATTTCCCGCCCGGGCTCTCTTGCTGAAATCATAGGAAAACCATAGGAATCTTAAGAATTCTGTCAAATCCAGCGATTTCACGTCATCGCGCGGTGCACTCGCGATGCTCTGTCATGCACCCAGGCCGCGAATCCTGTGCAAAAAATACCACAAAGAGCACACTCGCGCGTTCATGTCAGAATCCTACCGAACACCGTGTGTTTGCAAGCATTTCAACATAAAAACATCAAAAACCCAATGCTTTTTCACAAAAATGCTTTGGGGTGTCCTGTCAGACCGTCGGGCTTCCTCCGGCCACCTCTGGCTTCCTGCGGTGTACCGGGCCATTCTCGACTCGTCTGGCAATGCGTGCGCGGCATTCAACACGCGCTCGCCAGTTCCCGTCGGCAACCGCCATCGCGGCCGCATCAGCTGTACCAAACCGGCTGGCCGGTGTGACTTCGGCCCCCAGTTGTGCCAGCTTTGCTTCTTATGTTGTGGGAGGGCGGGTGGGACTGGGCATGCCATGCTTGACTCGCTCGAGCTGGCTAGCTTGACTCCTACTCCTACTCCTACTGCTACCACTACTGCTACTACTACTGCGGCCACTACTACGGTTACTACCGCTAGTCCTACTGGTCGGTGTGATAGCTGTAGTAGTAGTAGTAGTAGTAGTAGTAGTAGAAGTAGTAGTAGTCGTAGTCGTAGTCGTAGTAGCAGTAGTGGCAGTAGTAGTAGTAGTAGTAGTAGTAGTAGTAGTAATAAGAATAGTAGTAGTAGCCGTAGTAGTCGTAGTAGTAGTAGTAGTAGTAGTAGTAGTAATAGTAAAGGTGGTGGTAATAGTCGTAGTAGTAGTAGTAGTAGTAGTAGTAGTAGTAGTAGTAGTGGTAGTAGTAGTAGTAGTAGTCGTAGTCGTGGTAGTCGTAGTAGCCGTAGTCGTCGTAGTCGTAGTAGACGTAGTCGTAGTAGTGACAGTAGTAGTATTAGTCGTAGTCGTAGTATCCATAATCGTAGTGGTAGTAGTAGTAGTGGTAGTAGTAGTAGTAGTAGTAGTCGTAGTAGCAGTCGTAGTAGTAGTAGTCGTAGTAGTAGCACTAGTAGTAGTAGTAGTAGTAGTAGTAGTAGTAGTAGTAATAGTAGTAGTAGTAGTAGTAGTAGTAGTAGTAGCAGTAGTAGCAGTAGTAGTAGTAGTAGTAGTAGTAGTAGTAGTAGTAGTAGTAGTAGTAGTAGTAGTAGTAGTAGTAGTAGTAGTAGTAATAGTAGTGGTGGTGGTAGTAGTAGTAGAAGTAGAAATAGTAGTAGTAGGAGTAGTAGTAGTAGTAGTAGTGGTAGTAGTAGTAGTAGTGGTAGTAGTAGTAGTAGTAGTAGTCGTAGTCGTAGTAGTAGTAGTAGTAGTAGTAGTAGTAGTAGTAGTAGTAGTAGTAGTAGTTGTAGTTGTAGTGGTAGTCGTAGTCGTAGTCGTAGTCGTAGTAGTAGCAGTAGTAGTAGTAGTAGTAGTAGTAGTAGTAGTGGTAGTGGTAGTAGTAGTAGTAGTAATAGTAGTAGTAATAGTAGTAGTGGGTTTTACCACTACTACTGCTGCTGCTACTACTGGTCGTAGTAAAAGAAATGCTCGCTGATGTGATGCTTCATGTGGCCGCCAATGTCGCCTTTGCGCAAGGTGCCCGGGAAAAGAGTTCGCGAGCCGATCTCCCTCATCCCTCACGCGCAGCTTGTCCTCGGCGTTGCGCTTGCACAACCTGTCGGGCGCGTGCTTGTAGCCCTCCAACTCCTTCGACACTGTTTGGATCAAAGGGTGCTTCGTGTTCATGGTGTACGTATCGGCGCCGATACAGCTGTTGAGTGGAGTATTGTGTGACGTCCGAATGACCAGCTTCAACGTTGTCGTCAAGAACACTAACACGCTATTATCCTTGCTGGACCGCTAGTTCTCGCCGTGGACGCCACGACAAGCCCTGCGGGCGCCCCACCTCTGTTCCCTGCGAGGCTCGGCAGCTGCCATTGCCCCTGCCCCGGGAGCTTGGATCCGGCCCTCGAGCGGCGTCGCGGCTGGATCCCCGTCCGAGCGTGGTGGCGGTCCCGCGAGGCGTGGCGTTGCTGCTGTTGGTCCCGATGCCGCCCTTGACCTGGATCCGCTGCCAGATGCCGCGGAAGCCTTGGAGGAGTCCTGGGGGAGGCGCTGGGCTGCCCACGCTGAAGCCTTCGCCATCTGTGCCGCCGCCGCCTTCTCCACTGCCAAGTTCCTCCCATCACGAGGTGGTGGGAACAATGTATGAGTTGAGGTTGCGAATGTGGTCGATGTCGATGCCGGAGTCGCTGATGCTGCTGGTGATGATGATGCCTCTGCTGCTGTCCGCGGCCCGCGTGATAGACTTTTCGTACGTGTTGTGCCCGCCACTGATCGATTCGGCGCTCTGGCTCCAAACATGATATCCCCAGATCGTCGTAGTGATGGACGTACCTCTGGTGTGTCCTCTAGGTGTCGCGGCCGTAGAGGGGAACACTTACAACCCTCGGTGGCGGTGGCGGAAAAGGGCCACCGTTCGCTGGCCGCTTCTCAGCCAGACCAGTTGGTTTGAGCAGCGATCTCGATGCCGACCGAAGGAGGTGTGTGAGCACATGCGCCCGTATTTTATCGGGATCGTGGCGTTGATCATGGCATTATGTGCGAAGATCCTATGGGTGTAGTGGGTATGTAGCACATGCTGATGAGAGCCATGCATACAGAGGATCAGCAAATTCTGGTGTGCACTTGTCTGTCTGCCATGTTCGCCGCAAGTGTCGTGCTGCATGATCAGTGTTTGAACAATTGTGTCACATGTTAATCATGCGTTGTCGATCTGTAAGCTGGAAGGTTTTGATGGTAGCCCATGTCCCTCCTCCCTTGACTTGAAGTGGTGTGCCACAACTTGCTCAATGGCCCCGAACCGTTTGCCGCACGAGTTTACACGAGAAAGGGCGGCTCATTTCGTCGTCGCCATATGTTTCAACTCATGCCGCGGAGGAGGGGGGGGTCTGAGCTGCCTGACAGGTTCCTGGGGGTCTGCTGAAACATCCAGGAAGCCGACTTGAGAGCACTCGCGTCGCAATAGTAGAGAGACGCTCTAGGACAGAATCCCGCGCGCCGTCGTCCCCCCACAAGTTGCTTATCACTGGCGGTTGCTACAACTCCTGGAATGACCGCCGATAGGGTGAGACACCAAGCATGACACATCGTCCGCAAGCAGTTGGGCCCGCGTGTGAATGTTCGAGTCCGCCGAGCTTGTTGAGGAAACTTTCCTGACTCAGCGATGGCTTGTGGCCGCCTGCTGCTCGAACGTGCATCCTCCGGACACACATAAAACACGAGGAAATGCCCATGACGTGCTGGCGCCCTGGAAATACTCTGCCGCCAGCTCAAGGTTCGCACAAATAGCTCGGTGGATGTGGGAGCATCCTGCCACTCCTTAAACACCTGCCAGGTAGAACGGCACGCTCGTCAATGTGATGGCCAGCCCCTTTTCATCGCAGCTTGAAGTTCGCGTGCAAAAGAGCTATCAAAACGATGCTTTCCCCGCGGTCAAACGACTCGCCTTTCGAGACCTGACCAGAGACGTTCTGCTACGTTCGAGAGGTTCGTCTTGTTGCCTTCCAGAGGCCTCCAGAAAACCAGTAGTCACCAAGCTGATGCTGCTGCTGGGGATGGTGATGATTGTGATGACGATGGCGACGATGGCGACGAGGACAGAGGAGGGGGAATAGAGGGAGGAGGAGGAGGAGGAGGGAGGAGGAGAGGACGCGGGGCGCTGCCGATTCAGAACGAGGATCCAACACTACAGGACGGATGGGACAAATCGGAGCGGCCGGCCTGCTTACACCTTCAGCCAGCCTCCAGGAGGCAGGCTGCGGGGCTCGGAGCCGTCGAACAATTTCTCGGCACGGACAATCTGCCCTGGGGCTCGAAAGGATCAGGGACTCGCTTTTTTTTGGTCAGCGGCGAGGCAGAGTCGGCTGCACCAGCGATAGAGCTAAACGGGGGCACCGAGAAGCGAACTGGCCGGAGTGCAGGAGAGGGGCAAGGACGAACAGGGCGGCCGCGGAGGTGGGAGAAGGTGGGGCCACTCAGAGGCGGAAGACTTCCGACCTGAGCGTGCCGGCGCGGCCGGCCAAGGACCAGCGACTCACGCATCCACAACAATTCGCAAGGTCCTTGATTGAAGCTCTGGAGGCCTCCCGGGACGCCCCCCAGTCTAACCCAAGATCACCCTTACGCATCGGAACCCTGGAAAGGGCGGGGGGTCCGATCCACCCCGTCATTCAAGGACCGTCCTCATGGGGCCTTCGTGGGCTCTTGGCACGTCCGGCGGGCCATTCTGGGTGCTTTTGGGGCATTATTGCGGCCCTCTTGGGCCGCATTGAACTCCAGAAACCTCTGTTACCAGATTGGAGCCCACTCTGGGCTGAATATGCCGCGCCCATCTGGGGACTCTCTTGGGACTCTTGCGGGGCCCTGTTGGGCCCTCTCTGACGAGGCCTTGTTGAAACCGTACGCAGCCGAACACAAAGTCTTGAACACACACCGAAGGGGTCAGTGTAGCGCTTCTTTGCGCCGACCCAGACCCTCTCGGGACGCTCTTGTGGCATTTTGGTCTCTCGTGGGCATGCTGGTGGAGCTATGTTGGGAAAGTTTTGGAGCCGCCTGTGGGCCTTCTTGGGGGTCTCTTGGGGCCATTTTGCGGCCGTCTTGGAAACTTGTTGGGCGGTATCGGGGCTCTCTTGGGCCATATTTGACTCCTCTGGGCAGTCGTGGGGGTCTCTTGGGGCCGTCTTGGGGCCGTCTTGCGCCCGTCTTGGGCCATGGCTCGTCGCGAGGCTCTCTTGAGTTGTAGCCCTCTCGGATTTTACTGGAGCGATGTTGGAGGCTTATTGGGTCGCCGTGGGAGCCCTCACGGCCGAAGAGGCCAGTACTTCATGCTCATCTTCTGGCCCCATGGGTCTATCTTGGAACCGCATGGCAGCCGTTACGGGCCGACTTGACCAGCGTTGGAGGGTTTCGAGCTGCCCCAGAGCCCTCTGGGGAGCCTCTTGTTGCTGCGTTGGGGTTCTCTTGGGGCTTGCTTGGGTTCTCTGGGTGCCCCAGGGGCTGTCTTGAGCGACCGAGGTACACCCAGGGAAAGCCCTTGGGGTAATGTAGATTGCCGCTTGAGAAAAGGGAGGTGAATCCCGAAGAGTGTGAACTACCCGGCATGGCCCTAAACATTGCGCTCTCTTGGGCCCAGGAACGGTCACACAAATGAGGTCTGGATCTGTTGCCGGCGTGCCAGGGGCATGGCTGGGAATCCGGGTCCCCGGTCTACTTGTAGATGCCTGCAAGACGGAACACAAGAAAACAACCAAATTAAACAGGAGCGCGGAATATTGCCACGCGAGCCTCCGTGTACAGGGGGTGCAGCGCTTCGATCGCAAATACGTCGAGGTATGAGTCGCACTTGAAGCACCAGAAGGACAGGTCGGACAGCGAGAGCCCCACGGCATGGCCCTCCTCGGCCGAGTGCTGCAGCATGTGCGCGTTCTTGTAGCGCGAGCACAGGCTGGCGCCACAGAAAGCACAGATCCACACTTCGTCCTCTTGAGAGCATGAAGCGTACGGTAGGTTCGTGCGGCGTCGGCGCGCGCAGAGGTTTTTGACACCGCGTCGATCGTTCTACCTTGAATCGATCGCGGCCCCGATCGTTCGAGGTTGAATTCAGTCGGGCCCAGTGGCGTTATCGTGTCCCTCGGTGCTTCCGCGTCGCAGAATTCAACCTTGAACGCCTTCGCCGGCGTCGCAGGCGCGCCAACGCCGCGCGAACCTACCGTAATCAAGAATGCCGATTGGAAAACCACACGTTGTGAGTCAGCAGGGGAGGCGGTCGCCAACGTGTTCGGACAGCGAGCGGACCGCAACGGGCAAGCGCACACCAGACACTTGGAACAGAGGCACGCGGCCGCGGAGGGGGAGCAGCATGGCAAGAAAACACACTGGTGGACTATGGAAACCTAGTACTCCGGGGGGGAGGAGGAGGAGGAGGAGGAGGAGGAGGAGGAGGAGGAGGAGAAGGAGGAGGGGAGAAAGTGCACCTCTCGGGCCCGAAAGGCCTCCGCCAGTGGGAAAAACCTGGAGAAGACAGTCAAAGAAAATCAAGGGCGACGGCGACGACGACTCCGGCGAGCAGGCTTGGAACCCCATCTAGAAATCATCGCCCACGGCGTTGCTGCTTGACCCAGGGTCAAGCAGCAACGCCGTGGGCCTCCCCATCGTATCGTCATCGTGCTTTTCACCCCCCCCAGAAGGGACTGTGGAAACATGGTCTCACAGCCTCACGTCCCATGCACGCACCATCACCCACGAAAAGTGCAGCAAATATAGCGAAGGAAATTAGCACACACACACACATAGACACACACACACACACAACTCGCAAACGTGTGCAGCGCACAGCACGCCAGCGCGACGTTGCATCGGCGCCTGCCCGCGCGACCTCCTCACAGGATTGCTCGACCAAACAAATCTCATCGGCCTCCGTAGTCGTAGCGCCACACGCGTAAGGTGTTTCAGCTTTACCTTGTTCAGTTCTCGAGTTGGCGCGTGCCAGAAAATGAAAAAACGGCCTCACGTCTCAAGGAAGCGGAAGCCATCCGAGCATTGATTGTTCAAGAAACAGCCAAACGACATGTGACACAAAAAGCAACACGAATAGAAGAAGAAACGACGCCATAAACATAAACTGTTTGCGCTCTGCGCGGATTTCTTGGATCTGCGCTGGACCCCCCTCCCTGGCGCGCGGAGCGCGCCAGGGGCGGCGCCGGAGGCGCCGCCAGAGGGGCCCAACGCGGATCCAAGAAATCCGCGCGGAGCGCCAAATCTTTATGTTTATGGCGTATGTTCTTCTTCGAACGAACGGCGACACCAAAAGGAACACAAATGGTGACAGGATGCGGCCTTCCCCCCGGACAACTCGACGGGGAGCGCCCCCCCGACGCCCCGCGGCAACTCGAGCCGCATGCCTCTTCGTGTGGCGCTTCTCCTGGCGATCGCCGCGGCGCCTCTGCGGGCGCGGTGTTTGGTGGAAGTGCTCATGCGACCGCATGGCGCCGACTGCGCGCGCCCACTCATTTGCAGGCTGCGTATGCAGACATCGACCGATGCCCATAAGCTCACTGCGGCAGGCGAACCCTCTGCCGGCCAGGTTGTCAAGAGCACTCGCGCAGACGTGCAAGTCACGCGCCGATGTCGCTCGAAACAAACCTTGTGCTCGGGCGTAGCCAAAAAAATCTCGTGAGGTAAACTGACTGACCTGAACTGACTGGTCGCACGAGTTACGCGAGAGTCTTATTCTCGGCCGCCAAAGGCGCAACCTATGGCGCAACCGATCGGAGACGGTCTTGTTATCGGCCGCCGAGGGCGTTACCTATGGCACAACCGAAACGGTTTTCTTCTCGGCCGCCGAGGGCGCAGGTGTATGGCGCATCCGGTAGGAGACGGTTTTATCATCGGCCGCAGATGGCGCAACCTATGGAGCAACCGATAGGAGACGGTTTTCTTCTCGGCCGCCGAAGGCGCAATCTATGACGCAATCGGTAGGAGACGGTTTCCTTCTCGTCGCCGAAGGCGCGACATATATCGCGCAACCCATAGGAGACGGTTTTCTTTTCGGCCCCCGAAGGCGCAACCTATGACGCAACCGATGGGAGACGGTTTTCTTCTGGGCCCCCGAAGGCGCAACGTATGGCGCAACCGATAGGAGACGGTTTTCTTCTCGGCCGCCGAGGGCGCAACCTATGGCGCAACCGATAGGAGACGGCTTTCTTCTCGGCCGCTGCCTCTGACGCAACCTATGGCGCAACCTAGGTGACAGGAGAAGGAGGATGAGCATGAAAAGGAAGAGGAGAAACGAGGATGAGGTCTTAGACAAGGACGACGATGAGGAGCTGGAGCAGAAGGAAGACGAGGAGGAGGACGAGGAGGAGGCATCCAGGGTTTTCCTCATAAGGTTCGCCGTCGTCTGCCTGCTTCTCGATCCCTTTCTCCTTCTCTTGGCGGCGAGCGAAGGGACGGGAAGCGAGACGGAGAAAGGCCTTCTCAGAATGCTCGGGAAAGTCCCCCGACCTTCCGCGAGAAGTTTTCAGAGCCTTCCCCGAAGACGCCCAACACTTCGCAGAAGGCGCGAGGGCTTCTGAGAAGCCCCGCCAACTTCTCAGAAGGCCTTCCCCTTCTCATTCCCCCCCCCCCCTCGCTCGCCCCCGCTCCTTCTCTGGGGCGCGCAAGGACGTACTAGCAGTGTGTGTGTGTGTGTCATCCTCGGAGGCGTGCCTCCGACCCAGACATATCAAGTAGAACCGTCTGGTAGTGTGTGTACCTAGATATGTGTATATATATAGGTATTTATAAAAGTAAATAGAAACTAAATAAATAAATAAATAAATACATACATATACATATGCATGTGTATATATATACACACATATATGTATATGTATCGTGCCCCGAGCGGCACGGCCAAAAAGCGCCCGCCACGGAGCTTATCATGTAAGGTGTCTCGGCGCGCGCGTCGCCCCTCCGGGGGGAACGGCGCACACAGAGGCACGCTGATGGCACTGGACAAGGAGCCCTTAGCCGAGCAAACCAGGGTCTGTCGGGGATCTTCTGACCCGGGTCAATCCAGACCCGGGTCAGCAGGAAGCCAAAAACTGCAGTGCAGGAAAAAAAAACTGCAGCGCAGGTCTGCGCAAACCCGGGTCAGCCAATACGCGCGGCCGCCTCGCGGCCACGCGCGGCTCCCTAACCCGGGTCAGCCAGAGGGGGCCTCCGCAGGATCCTGCAGGACCTGGCGCCCTGGCTGACCCCCGTTTGCATTGACCCCCGTCTCTTAGGCCCCGGCTCTGGAAAGCAACGCTCCAACCGTGGATCGGCCATGGATATCACCGCCGGCCCCATTGGATGAGGAATCCTCCAGGGTCTGGCGCCCCCTGGGACTATTCCTTGACAACCGCCTCCACCGTATGTATGTGGCAACGGCGCCGCCCAAGAGTTCCAGGGACGCGACACGTTGAGTTTGACAATATTGAATTCAACGGAAGCGCTGCGCGTGTTACGCTCCAGGGCGGAATCAAACGATTCGCAATACACACATATGTGTATATATACATAGTTTTGCATTGGCGTGGGCGGAGATTGGCCAGCAGCACAAGCGCAGCAATTGGCCCGCACACGAACACGTGTCAATGCGAGACCCCAAGGGTTGCTTTGAGGGATGCCGCGCTGAAAGCTTAACGACCTTTCCCCAAACATGCTCTGAACCGTTGTAACGCTGCGATGTTCAAACGTGCAGCATTTTCCTGCCAGCGGAGTTCTTGTGTTTGGACATGCGAAGTTCCACCTCCCCCGCTCAGCGAGCATACATGTCGGGGGCGACGATGGGGGCGAACAGCCCAGGGGAGAGCAATACATGCATCCAGGGGCGCCGATAGTCGTTGCCTTCAGTGAGGCTCCCAGGCGAATGTGTGCCATGCCCGCCCCTTGGCTATTCGACCCTATCGTCGCCTCCGAACATGCTTCGCATGATTGAATTGGGTGAGGGATCAGTCGACTGTTCCCTGGCGCAAGTGATATGATGAAGCTGCGTAATTCGGAGGGGGGTCGGTCAAACGCGCCCCCCGAAACCAGCCAAGCGAAATCTAAGAAGTAGATGTACTATGGGAGGGTACCCCATCCAACAAGAATTGTTTCTGAACCCTCGTGGTAGCTATATACCGGGTCCTCTCCACAGACGGAGCACTTCGCGCACATGCTGATGCATGGGGGCTTCGGAAGCTCCCCGTGCTGCTGCAAGTGCGGGCAGTGGGTGCGAGGGTACACCGCGAAGCCAGACGTCTCATCACCACACGTGGCCATCAACTCTATGATGTGTTTCGGTTCCTCCTTCTCTTGCTTCTCACTCTTCCCAGCGGAAGACGGCGGCACACAAATTCCGCTTTCAACAAGTGCATCGTTCACTACCTTTGGTTTCTTTGCGACGTTGGGTTCCGCGCCCCGAGTCGTGGCTGCCATCGCCGCGGCCACATCGTCCTCTGATAAGTCCGCACCCAGCGAGTACAACAACGCCGCTCTCAGGGCGATCTCACCCTGGTCCCAAACCTCGAGCGCTGCGATTAGCCGCTCGTCGATGGCGGAGGCGCCGTAGAACGCCCCGGCAAGTTGGCCGCAGATCGCACCGTGCGAGTCCGAGTCCCCGAGGAAATTGATGCACCGAGAGATCGCGGCCATGAACGTCGACGTGTGGTAGATGCTGTGCAGGGCGATGGCGAGGCCATCCATGCTGTACGAGCCGAAGTAGTCCGGCAGGACATCGTAACCGTTGTACTCCTGTCGTAGCTGTAGGCAACATAAGCACACACACACACACACGCACTTTCGGAGGCCCGCACCGATGTCCTGGAGCGGCGCTGGACCCACCTCCTTGGCGCACAGAACACGCCAGAGGCGGTGCCGCAGGCGACGCCAGGGAGGTCCAGCGCCGACGCTTCGAAAAGAGGATCGACCACATATTTGATTTACTATGTTCAGTGGAAAAAATCCCGGGACAACCCCCTGGACAACCCGGACAATCCCTCCACGATGCATACCATACGCGTCCCAGCGTGTGATTGCGGCTGGCGCTCGAGCGGCAGCACAATACCCCCCTTGGGGATGTGGCCGGCGCTGAGGCGATAGCAAGACCTCGGGCGAGAGCACCATTCCCAATCACGGATGTGGCTGGCACTCGAGCGGCAACACCCTACGTACCCAATGAAAAGTGGCCTGCGTTGAGGCGAGAGTACCGTTCCCAATCATGGACGTGGCCAGCGCGCCGTGTTGCAAGGACTTATCAGATTGGCCAGACCAGCTCTCGCGCGGCATCTCCGAACCCAAAGTTGTGAGGATATATCGAGTGAAGCTGCCTGGAACACCTCTGGCCAGTGCACCTCTGAGCCCAGAGTTGCGATGCTGTCTATGGCGAAACTTGCCAGACAACTTCGCGCGCGGCATCCTTGAGCCCAAAATCTGGAGGAAATCTCATGCGAAACTGGCCGGACCACCTCAGGTCAGAGTATATCGGAGCCGAGGAAATTGCAAGGATGTCTGATGCAGAACTACCTGGACAACCCTTGTGCGCGGTATCTCGGCGCCCAAAGTTGCGAGGATATCTCAGGCGAACCTCACTGGACAACTCATACGCGGCAATTCGGAGCCTAGAGTTGCGACGTCGTCGCAGGCAAAGCTGGCCAGACCATCTCTCGCGCGGCATCTCTGAGCCCAGAATTGCGAGGATGTCTCATGCGCAATGGGCTGGTGAAGGAGGGCGTGCGAGGTAAAGGAGGGCGTGCGAACGGGATCGGAAAGGGGACACGAGAGACGAGTAACGGACAGCTGGGCTTCCCTGGTTGTGCCATACTTTTGGTTGGATGTATAATAATGACATGTGCACGTGCTGGCAAGACAACGCGACCCCGCAAGGATCCGGACAATCCCCCCCCAGACAACCACCCTTGGACAAACATCCCAAGGATTACCCCCCCCCCCGCTTAAAAAGTCTGGACCGCAGAGGTCGCGAAAACTCAGCGTGGACGGGCCCCGTTAGGCCACGGCGCACTGGTACAATGTTCCAGAGACCGCCATCGCGGATTTCCGGTCCATGCCTCATCCTCTTTAATCTTGTAATCGCCAAGTGGGGCGACAACTGGAAATTCGCATTCCGCCTAGTACTTCCCCAGACGACCGGAAATTTTCAGAGGCGACCACAAATTTGCGATTTGGCTCCAGATGTCCTCACACACAAAAAATCCGGTCCGATTGATGTTGGCTGGAAATCGAGTCGTGACTTGGAAAATTTTATGCAGAGCGTGTCTGCTTCCTCTGGTGCCCGCGATTCTAAACAGAACTTTCTCTGGCAGTGCTCTGTGCCGTACCAGTGTTCGGCGCGCTGCCCGCTTTCGGAGTTATCTAACAGGCCATGTCTAAAATCGGGAGCCCAGACCCATCGAGGGTCCATGATCCAGGTCTGGTCGGAGATCGACGATGCAAACGGCCCTTGCAGGTGCTATTTCCAGTCGATCAAATACCCCAAATTGATGTTCCGTCGAACCTGCAAAACACTCAGACTGCTAAAATTGTTCCCTAGAGTCGACGAGAAAATCAAGTCTGGGCCAAACCAATTCTGTAGTCGATCCCCGACTCGAGCCCTGGAAATATGCGCGGAGCTCCGACAATCTTTTACGTTCGTGAAGTGCTATTGTTCGTCTGCTGCCCCGACGTTGCCAAGCGGGGTCACCACTGAGGGGTCGCCACCTGCTCCAGGAGGAGGCCCCGTCGGGACCCCCCCCCCAGGCCCACCGGAGACTCCCAAAACGATCGGGACCGTCCCGGAAGCCATTCGATGCTCGACCTTCGAAACCCAGCAGGAGCTGGCGAACCCCCAAGTGGTGACTCCCCTGGTAATTGCCTGGTCTCTCGCAGATGCAGCGCCCACCACGACATCCGCGAGGACCTGCTGATTGTTCGGTCTATGCAACTGTTCTTTCTCCGATCGCACCGCATCGCCGATGCATCGGCGAGATCGGCATGGAGAAGAGCGTGCTCCAGATCGCACCGCATCGACGATGACTGGGCGATGCGGCGCGATCCTTTGGACCTATCTGCTCTGGCCCCATTTGGCTAATACGGGGAAACCCTACGCTACGCAAAGCCATACGCCGAAGCGCGTAGGCGACAACAGAAAAATCAGTAGGACGCCAAGGCACCGGTCATCGCATGCCATCTACCCTGAGAGTGCTACAGGCCATCGCCATCACCACAGTTGTTTGCAGCGCCCTCCCCAATAGTTCGCCATTCGATGAGGTTGGGGTCCTGCACAGAAGAAGTAAAAACGCTACAAACATAAACTTTTGGCGCTCCGCGCAGACTTCTTGGATCTGCGCTGACCCCCTCCCTGGCGCGCGGAGCACTCCAGAGGCGGCGCTGGAGGCGCCGCGGGGGGGGGGGCCCAGCGAGGATCCAAGAAATCCGCGCGGAACGCCGAAAGCTTGTGTTTCTGCTGTTGGCTCTTCTTCGATTGGGACCCTGCAGGCGCTGCAACCAAGCGCTCCAACAAAAAAAATGGCGGCCTCAACTCTCCTTCCGCCGCTGACTACCTACCAGACCACCCCAACCCAACCCGAAGACCCGAATTTCGGGTTGGGGGGGGTAAGGGTTCCACACGTGTTTTTTCGACGTTTCCCGACCCCCCCCCAACTAGAAATCGAGGATAAATTTGGACCTTCGGGTTGGGTTGGGGTGGTTTGGTGGGTGGTGAGCCGCCCCTCCGCCGGCCCTGCGCCGACAGAGCCGCAGCCACCACCTCACGGAGCAGCCGCCCTCCGCCAATTTTCGGCCCGCCGCCGAGGGCGAAGAGGGCGCCGAAGGCGAGGCCCGTCCCAGACTGCCGACGTCGTGATTCTTCTCGGGCGGGCGGCAATGGGGAGTAACTGAAGGGGGGGGCGAAGAAAGACGCCCCCAAGGCGGGGGGGGGCACTTTAGGGCCCTCGCAGAGCCAGCAGGGGCCCCAAAAGGGGGCCCCAAAAAAGGTCCCTCTAGGGCCCTCTTCTTCACCCCCCATCCCCAGACATGCGACGCCCGGACTTTTTCAGGACGGCGTCCCTGGAAGTCCCGACCCTTTCCCCGGGACCGGTTTTCGTCCTGACTCGTTTTTTGACGGTCCCGAGGCCTGGCGAGGGCCCCCCGGGGCCGAAAATAGCCAAAAAATCCCCCGCCCAGATTTCTTTACAACGCGATCATGTCTGGGCTTGGGTCGCCCCCCATTGCCACTCGCCCGACTTTCGACCGTGTGGACCGCCCGGTGCCTCGACCCCTTCCCTGGGACGGCTCCTCCTCCTCCTCCTCCTCCTCCTCCTCCTCCTCCCTCCTCCTCCTCCTCCCTCCTCCTCCTCCTCCTCCTCCTCCTCCTCCTCCTCCTCCTCCTCCTCCTCCTCCTCCTCCTCCTCCTCCTCCTCCTCCTCCTCCTCCTCCTCCTCCTCCTCCTCCTCCTCCTCCTCCTCCTCCTCCTCTCCCTCCTCCTCCTCCTCCTCCTCCTCCTCCTCCTCCTCCTCCTCCTCCTCCTCCTCCTCCTCCTCCCCCAACTCCTCCTCCACCTCCTCCCCCGCCTCCCTCCTCCTCCATCCGTCCAGCGAGCCGCCCTGCGGACGGCCCCCGCAGGCCGGGCGGGAGCACCCCCGCACACGAGGCCGAGGGGGGGGGGGCTCCGACGCATGCGGTCGGCCTCTCTCTCTCTCTGTCGCGCGCGAGGGCGGACAGGTAGGGCGACGAAATCTATACATATACACTGCTCCCTGGCCAGGCCCATCCTCAACCCCGCAGCGGTGTATACGCCACGCCCTCCTGGCTTGGCCAGGAGGGCGCATACACAGCTCCTGGATTCAAGATGGGCATGGTCAGGGAGCAGTGGATATGCATAGATTTCGTCGCCCGAACAGGAGGACGCTCACCTCGACATCGCTCGGACGACCGCTCCCCGTGCAGCTTCTCTGCCTCGAGCGCCCCTCGCGCGGCCGCCCTCGCCTCAGCCTCTCTCTCTCTCTCTCTCTCTCTCTCTCTCTCTTCGCGCCGGACGATATGCCCATCGGTTGCCCCGGTCAGCCCCACGCTGGTGCGGATTGCCTCTGCCTCGCCGCCGACGAACGAAGTTTCTGCTTCGTGCGCTTGTTGTTTGCCAGATGATCCAGGCTGCGCCTCGAGGGACCTCGCCGAGGAGCAGCAGGCACAAGTCCGAGCGGTGCCAAAGAAGACGCACGCGCTTGGGCGCGGCCCCTCTGGGAGCGAAGAGCGGTGGCGCCACGGCGCCAACAACTTCGAAGCGGGGCTGGGGGCAAAAAGGCAGGCAGCGTCGCGCGAGCGCGGCGCAATACTGCTCGGTGGCAACTCATGACTAGTCAGTGCGCAACCAAAGGCTACGCAGTGCGCAAACAATGTATATTCAGGTAGACATGGGCCACTCGTTCCACCTGCCACAACTGCGGCACCCTAGTCAAACCAGAAGTACGGCAACCGTCCACACCTCAAAGACAGTGGGCCCCAGTAAGTCGCCGCGGAAAGAGTTCGGTGGCAACTCATGGGAGCCTCCAATACCATCTTGTCGGCTCTTGCGAATCGACTCTAGTCGACGCTACACCGATGCTGACCGACGTTAAATCGACGCTAGGTCGGCGCTATCTCATCGACTCCCAGGCGCTAATCGACGCCAGTCGACGCGAAAAACAAAATTGAGAGGGTTCACCAGCCTCCCATGCTTTGCGACCGAAAGATTGGATGGGGGAGAAGCGGAGAGCAGATGCGAGAAGCAAGGAACTGCGCCCTTTTGGTCTGCCTGGATCCTTCCCACGGGCCTCCAGAGTCTCCAGCAGGTAGGGGCCGTCGGTGTCCCGCCAGTTCCAGCAGCGCTCGGTGCTCCCTGGAGGCTCGCGGGCGGCCAGCAACCTGAGCAACGTCACCTGGCCCTGCGCACTGGGCAGGGCCTGGCAGGATCAGCCGGCATCGAATCGGGAAGGGCTGAGTGCCTTCTGCTGTTCCTCAACTCGCGCTGGAGCTTCAACGATGTGCTCCACATTCACCTGGATATCTCTGGATGCACCTTGATCCGCCTGGATCTGCAATAGACACTAGTTTATGTTCGTACGACCTGAGGTTCAGCTAGCATGATCGCCGCAAATCGATTGGAGAAGAATCGTCAAGCCTTTAGGGAGTCGAGTCGGGCTGCATGTGTCCGCCGGAATCATGATCGGATCGGATCGGATGCGCCCGGAGGCACAGGCGCCTCGTGCGAGAACCCAACGCGTCGGATCGTAGGAAAATCGAGATCAAATCGGGTTGAGCTCGGCGATCTCGGGTTCGAATCGGAACGAGCGAATCGGCATTGGGCTCCCGCCTGGTAGGCCTCGCAACACTCGTCCAGGAACTGGGCCGCACTCGCGCTGTCGTCCTTCGGCCTCCTTTTTTCGGCGGCGGGCAGTTGGGGAAGTGAGAAGGAGAAGGCCCTCTCAGAAGGCGGCGGGACTTCTCAGAAGCCCTCATGCCTTCTGAAGAATTGTTGGTGTCTTCGGCAAAACTTTAGAAAACTTCTCAGGAGGCTGGGGGACGTCGGAGCCTTCTGAGAAGGCCAGCCCCTCCTCACTTCTCCCTCCAGGCTCGCCGCCGGTCTTTGCAAGAAGGAAGCCCACACCTCCTCCCCGTCCTCGACTTGGGAGACATGCGGCCTGGATGTTTTCTGTATTTTCTCCCGCTCCGCTCTATCAGCCCCCCTCCACTCCCCTCCCCTCCGTCCATCCTCCTTCGCTCCCTGCCTCCTGTTCCTCCTCCCTCCCCTCCCGAATGCACCATCCTCCCTCTCCAGTCCCCGCTTCCTTCCCCCGCTGGGCCTCCTTTGTGAGCAGGGGCCGACCGTCCCAGAGTTCCTTTAGGACTACTACGAAATACTTGTAGAACAAGAAACGTTGTGATAGCAAAACAATGCCCTAAGAACCTACACAGCCAACGGGTGAAAACAAGACGGTCTCGGTCAAAAGGCTCTAGGAACGCCCCTAGTCAAGCACGAAAGGTTCTCAGAGCAATCTGGTGGCTCTACTAGGGGAAGCCAGGACGCCCTGCCACTGCTTGACCTAGATCTCATCTTCGGCCCCCGCGGGCCCTCCCCATATCGGAAAACGTAAGCATGATCCTGGGAAAGAATGCCCACAGGTGCGCGGCTTTTGGGGGGATCGTGGGGGGGGGGGGGGGGGGCAAAGACAAGCGCAGAAGACGCCACTGCCGCCTCTTGTTCGGCGATCGCGAGGCCCCGTTGGGCCCGCACCCGAAGGGCACCCGGGCGAGACGCCACTCCTGGCCATCGCTCGGACGTCCATTCCCTGTGCTTTTTTCGTTCTCGTGCGTGTTATTTTCGCCAGATGGTCGAGGATGCTGCTCGAAGGCCCTCGCCCAGAGAAAAAATGCACACGTCCGAGCGATGCCAAGACTCTCTACGTCTGGTCGACCATGGGCCTGCGGGCCTGGCCACCAGCAGCCCGCGGCTGCACACGCGGACCGGACCTGGTGGGCCGCGGCCCTGCGCCCCTGAGGGCCCACGGCGCAGACTGCAAGAACACAGCTGGGAGGCCACGCGCGAACCCTGCAGCCAACCCGTATCATGAGGATGCGCGGCAAGGGTGCAGGGGCCGCTGGAGGCCCAAGTGAACGTTTTGTCGTACGAGGCTGGCCAGGAAAAGTCGCTATAAGGATGGGCCGAAGGGACAAGGATACGAGGGTGCCTTTCGGAAGGTTGCCCATCCTTCCTATGCGGGTTGACTGTGCCCCACCCACCCCACGATTTCTAGGGGGGAGGTGGGGTTCATTGCGTTCGGGACCTCCCGAGCGAAGTGAACCCCACCTCTCCCCTTAGAAATCGTGAGGCTGGTCGGGTGTGGTTCGCACGTGCCCTCCCAACATCGTCGAATGTCTAGTGTCTCCTGAACGGGTTCTGACGGCAACGGGTCCTGGACCCCTGGGGCCTTCCCCAAGGATCAGGCTCCCCCTCTCGACTCGCTTTTTTTTGGGGGGGGGGCGGCCCGGGATGGGAGCGGCCCTCGTTGGCCGAGTACGGCGAGGAGAACCTCTGGACCGCCTGTCGTGTGCGTCGAAGGGGGGGGGGGGGGGGGGCAGAATGAGGGGGTTGGCGCATCATCGCTCGCAGCGCGTGCGCGGACGAGGGGGGGGGGGGCAGGGAACGTGTTCAAAGACAAAGAAACATAAGATCTGCGCGTAGCCCCCCGCAGATGTGGATCAGAGTGAAGGGGGCGGTGGGGACGTCGGCACTTTGCGAGACTCTGGAGAAGCCCGCCGCAGGCGCCACAGCTTCACAGATTATGCGTAGCCCCCCGCAGATGCGCATAAGAGTGAGGGGGCGGTGGGGACGTCGGCAGTTTGCGAGACTCTGGAGAAGCCCGCCGCAGGCGCCACAGTTTCACAAGTCATGCAGCGACCCCGCAGCAGGCGCCGATTTCTTCGTTAAAACACCGTGGGTAGATCGCAGAAGGGTCGCAAACGGGTCGCGGGTGGGTCGCTGTTGGGTCGCGTGTGAGTGGCGGGTGGGTCGGGGGTGGGTCGGGGGTGGGCCGCAGGTGGCTCGCGGATTGGTCGCGGATTGGTCGCAGGGTGGGTCGCGGGTGGGTCGCCGGTGGGTCGCGGGTGGGTCGCGGGTGGGTCGCAGGGTGGGTCGCGGGTGGGTCGCGAGTTTGGTCGCGTGTGGGTCGCGGGTGGGTCGCGGGGTGGGTCGCGGGGTGGGACGACGACAACTAACAACAATAACAACAACAATAACAGCAACAACAACAACAACAACAACAACAACAACAACAATAAACAACAACGCAAGAAGCAGAACCCTCACCACGGATCCCCACTTCAGCCACGCACCCAGGGACAATGAATGATCGCTCGGCCCCCTCACTTTGACGACTCGGGTCCATAGTAAGGCGGCTAAGAAAAATATAAACACTACGAATCATGATAATAATAAATAGAAGAGAGGTCCTTGTCATCTGGGATCTCATAGTTCCCTCTTCTCGGCTCGGCCATCATCTGCGGACGCCCCCAAACCTCCTTCCCCCCCTTGGACGCCCACGACGTTCCCCCCGGGGCCCATTTGCTCCGTGTCGACTCCTTATCGCCCTGGCGATGGCAAAGCCCAGGAAGGAGCACGCGTCCGCCGCGATCGGGCCTTAGCAAGACCAACCAGCATCGAATCGGAACATCGCGTCGGATTCATGTGTGGTTCGACGGGGGAACGACACACATGTCGGCTCGGAAAACGCGGGAAACGACTTGGGATATGTACCAAGCTCTCTCTACAAACGCACGCCCACACGCATGCACCGACCTTGCTGTGCAGATTCTGATGACTCAAGCAAAATACTTTCCGTGGGGACGGGGTGCGAAACTGGCCGCAGCCACACAATGTCGGAATCGAATGTGATCTGCCGCGCCAGAATGCACAACGACGCCGTGCTCGATTCGTCGGATACCAGCTTCGGGTCGGATCGAACTGGTCACAATCGACACCCGCTCGAAGTGATCGATTAAACACGCACGCATCCGACGTCTCATGTTGTTCGCAGCGTGACTCTCCAGAGGTCTAGGCCCCTCCCCCGACACGTGTCTCAAAACCGAATCGTTTTGGATGGTCCCGGGCCCGGCGAGGGTTCTCCGAGGCCGAAAACCGAACGCCTCCCAGCTGCTTCGCTGTCCCCCACGACCCGAGGATCTATCACGGAATGGCCCCTGCCTGGGTGCGTCGTCAGGGAGGACTCCGAGCTGACGCGGGCGGCGAGCGCTGGGTCGTGGTGGAAGAAGATGGGCACGGGGCTCAGGCGCATCAGCGAGCCGTTGCCCGCGTCCTGCCACGGGCAACACCCACGGTGTTCACCACACGGGGGGCCGCCAGCGCCTCCCAGAGGACCCGGCCCACCAGATCCCAAACAAAAAATCACGGCGGGCGGTGCTTGGCCGCTTCTGGCCTCGGGGGGCCCCTTGCGAGGCCCCAGGACGGGCGAAAACCAGCTCGGACTCTACACTCCGTGGCCCCCAAGATGCCCAGAATGCTATCTACGCTGGTTCACGCTGCGTTTGAAGTCGCCGAGGATTGCCCAAAAAGCACCCGGGGCGCCCCAAAAGGTCACCAAGAGGACCCCCAAGAGGGCCCTAAGAAGCAAACATCGTCAATTTCCCTTCAGGAAGCGTAGATGTTGAGCATATTCGCTTTTTTTGTCTAAACAGCGCGCAAGACGGCTCAAGAAGCGTCCAAAACTGCTCCAAGACGGCCCAAGAGACTCCCGAGAAAGCCCCAAGACGGCCCAAAAGGGCCACATGACGACCAAAGAGGGCCCCAGCCGGGCTGCAAGAAAGGCCAAAGAGAGGCAACTCAAGCTGACCTCCCCGAGACCACCAGCAGTAGCCCAAGAACCCCTCAGGAGGCCCCAGGAGGCCCTCTAGAAGCCAAAACAAAGCTGCCAGAGGCCCCCCAACGGTCTCCAACATGCCCCCAACGGTCTCCAAAAGGCCTCCAAAGACCTCGCCCGTGGACTTCAATCCTTGACTGCGGGTCCCGCGCCAGCTCTCTGACAACGCGCCCCTAGGGCCTCCAGAGCCTCGAATTCTACACTCCGTGGCCTCCCAAATGCCCAAGATGCCATCTAAGTTTAGGTCGGGCATTTCCTCCTTCAGGCGGGTTTTGGAAGAAGAGCGAAAAATATGCAACAAAGCTTCAAACATGGAGAAGAATAACTGAAAAATCGTCACATGGCTAGTTTTCGAATATGTTTGAATCTACCTCCTGTACAGGGGCATGCCCGATTTAAATCCAAGTTGGTGTAACGCTGCGTTCGAAGACGCGCAGATGAGAGCCGAAGGCGCGAGCACAACCCAAGACACGTGACTCCAACTGCCATTTCGCGCCCTCCGCCCCGTTAGACCCCCAAACCGACAGCATGCGCCAGAGAAACCCCCCGTCAAGCAGTGGCGAGGCGTCCTGGCTCACCCATAGGCCCACCAGAGAATGTTCTGAAAACCTTTTTGTGGTCTACGCGAAATGTTCTTAAAACATGTGTGGTAGAGACTGTCAAGACATTTGTTATTGGGACATTTCTCGGCTCTTCGAACATGTCGTGGTGGACCAATCGAAATGCCGGGAAGGTCGGTCCCTGCTCATCTCCCAGGGCTTTGAAAACGACCCCTAAAAAGATTCGAAGAAACCTCACGACCACCACAGCCGTGAACTCCTGACCTCTGCTCGGGGTCGGCGGAATGGCGCAAGCCTCCTCGATTGAAAAAATCACGGCCGGCGGACTTTGGCCGCTTCTGGCCTCCAGGGGCCCCTTACGAGGCCCCACGACGGTCAAGCACCAACTCTGATGAGAAGTGGGCTCCGAGGACGGGGTCCAGACATCGAGGAGCCCGCGCAGCGCAAAAAAACACGACGTCGGACACCTGGGGGTCGCCAGCTCCTCCTGAGGCTCCAGGTCCGGGGGTCGGGGTCCGAAGAGCTCTGCAGGCGACGGCCGCCTGCAGGGATCTGGGGGGGGGTCCCATCGGGCGCTCCTCCCCGAGGAGGTGGCAACACCACCCTGGTGGTGAACACCCTATTTAGCATGGCCTGGTCCTGTTTGCCCCCGAACTCGTCGAAACGTGGTGGGGGCTCCGGGGACATGCGGGAGAGCGAGGACTTGATGTTCCCGCCAAGCCCGACCGAGTCGCATCTGCCCTCCTCGAGCCGGAAGGCATTGTTGTAGCCGCGGAACCACCAGTTCCAGAAGCGCTTACGGACGTCCGAGCCGTTGTACTCGCCACACACGAGCAGGGAATCCGCGAGGCACAGGCCCATCGAGGTGTCATCCGTCCACTGGCCCGGCTTCAGGCGGAACCGGTTGTAAGGCCCAGTGCACACGAGCCTAGAATTAGGTCGGGCATGTCCTCCTACAGGCGGGTTTCGGAAGAGACATCAAAATAGTCAAAGAGATCGAAACAGTTAAAAGAGCACGAACAATCGTCACCAGACTACCCTTCTGCAGCTTGAAGAGGGACATGCCCGACTTACGCCTAGAATGGAAAACAACAAATCCGAGGGAGCATGCCCTGCCGAGTGTCCGCGCAGATTTCTCGGATGGGTGCGGGCCTCCCTCCCTGGCGCGCGGAGCGTGCCGGGGACGGCGCCAGAGGCGCGCCGCCCTGGGGGGGGGGGCCCACCGCGGATCTGAGACATCCGCACGGACATCGGACTGCTTTTCCCCCACACGACAGATGGGTTCCCGACTCGCTTCCCGCCCGCATCGCGGCGGCGTCTCACCTCCCACCTCCTGCCTCACCTCCTGACCTCTGCTCATCTCCGAGCCGCGTCGCTGTTCCTCCCCCTTCTCACTTGCACCCAACACCGGACGCACGTCCGCAGACCCACACGCACAAACACACACGAAGACAAACGCCCGCACACCTTGCCTCCAGCGGCGAAGTGGCGACACTGTCGCGAGGCGCTGTGCGGGGTCACGCCTGCAAAACGCCCGCACACACAGACAGACAGACAGACAGACAGACAGACAGACAGACAGACAGACAGACAGACAGACAGACAGACAGACAGACAGACAGACAGACAGACAGACAGACAGACAGACAGACAGACAGACAGACAGACAGACAGACAGACAGACAGACAGACAGACAGACAGACAGACAGACAGACAGACAGACAGAGACACACACACACACACCACACACACACACACACCACACAAACACAAACACACACACACACACACCAGACAAAGGCACGCACACAGACACACCATGCACTGGGTATCGCAGGCGTGGCACTTTCTCGACCCTTCCGGGGGTGCGCAGAGAGGGTGGGGGCGTCATGTGTCGCACGGTGGCACCTCCTCGACACCAGGGGGGGTGCGCAAGGGGTGGGTACTCTATCCGTCACGCGGTCGCAACGCGTGGCATGCGTGGAAGGGGTGCGCGACAGGATGCTCTCGAAGAGCTCCGACTGTCAGTTTCTAGCGCATGCGACTCCAGGAGATTATGCTGAGGAGATCAGAACTGTTACTTTGCCGCATTTCATGGCTGGAGATGGGAAGCATGAGTGAACAGATGGGACGACCAAGGGAGGAGCGAGGGAAGTACGAAAAAGGGATCTAAGGGAGAAGGGAGGATTTCACACAATCCTGTGTTGAGACTTCCGCAACTTGACAAGCTGTTGAGCTTTCGCGCGGGAAGACTGATAACTTGACGAGAACGACTAAGCATATGGGATCCCTCCGCAGTGTACTGTGCATGCTGCTTGTTCAAATTCGAGAGCCGTTCCATGTCGAAGACGTGCCCGCTCTCACCGACGGGCAGGAACTCGAACATATGTCCTACACCGTCCGCGACGGCCATGCCGACCATGGATCCAATCGCTCGCTGGCCGCCGGCGTCCTGCAGCGCCAGGCCCAGAATCTCTGCTCGCTCTGCCTTCGGGTGGGGCCCAAGCATGCTTGTACAGATACGCTGATGATGCCCATATACATCTATCAGGTAGACTACAAACGACCACACCATATACATACATATATACATATATACATATATACATATATACAAATATAAGTATGTATACGGAGACACATTCATACACATGACCTTACACATACACACGCGCCCGTGCTGATAATACCCAACGTATCTACAGGTGTATATATACGTACTTCAATAGAAATACGAAAACAGGCATGATCACTACATTTACGAAAATTTGTATACGCTTACGGATGTCGGGATTGACTATGTCTGAACCCTGACCAACATCTTTTCGATTTGGGGGGCGCTTGCCGTGTGCCCTCCGAGGCTAGGCGCGCGTTCCCGCGTAACTTTTCCGGAGCGAGAGGGGGCCCAAGAGTCCTCCAAGAGGATTCCGAGAGTCACCCCACGAGTTGCCAACGCGCACTTCCGTTGCCGGCGCAGAAAATCAATGCCGGTGACATCTTGAGGCTGTCTTGGGATCTTCCTTGGGCCGTCCCGGGGTGTCTTGGAGGCTCCGGGGCTGCCGTAAGAATATGTTGTGCAAACCCGGGGTCCTTTGGAACCGTCTTCGCGCCTCTTTTGGTTTCTGAGGTTTTAGTTGGCCGCCTTCTGGGCTTCTTGGGCCGTCTTGGGCCCACCTTGGGCCGTCTAAGAGTCTCTTGGGGGCCCCTCTGGGTCTTCCCCGGCCATCTTGGGACTTCTTGGGGGCGTCTCGGGCCGTCTCGGTGCGGTCTTGGGAGCCTCTTTGGCCGTCCTCGCGGCCCTGAAGCTCGATTGTGTGAGTTGTTTGAATTCCGTGAAACCAAAAGAGAATCATCCCTCTTGAAAGCCCTCGAGGGGCCCTTTGGGGGCGTCTTGGAGGCCTGTGGGCAGTCAGTCTCGAGAGCATCTGGGACATTCTTGGTCCGTGCCTCGGCCCTCTGGAGAGCATCTTGGGCCGTCTCGGTCCGTCTGGGGAAGACTCGAGGCCCTCTTGGACCATCCTAGAGCCCCCCTGGTGAGCCCCTGCAGGACTGGTTTGGGGCTCTCTCGCGGCTTGGGGGCCACCACTAGCCCGACAAGGCGTAACGTCGGTTGGTTCGAAGGCACACCTATTCTGTTGTCCCCCCCTCGGAGGAAACCAACCAACTCCGATACCGCGACTCCCCAGACCTCCCCTGGAATGAGTTCTGAGCCCGGGGTGCGAGGCGAATGCAGCTGTGGTGGCATCGAGAGGCCCTCCCCAGGAGGCCCCAAGGAGCGAAGACGAGGGGAGGTCAACAGCACGCCTTCCTCCCCCAAACTCCGCCTCTCCCACGCCGTCGAAGATCGAGAAGCCGTTCATGTCGGGCGCGTTCTGGCCGCGCCCGCAGACGATCGGCCGCCTCCGCAGCTGCAACGGCATGGCATCACCAACACCAGCGCCATCGTCATCGTCATCGTCGTCGACGTCGTCACCATCACCACATACCACATCATCACCATCGTTGGCGGCGTCATCGTCATTTTTAGCATCATCATCATCATCATCATCATCATCATCATCATCATCATCATCATGGTCATCAACACCATCACCATCATCATCATCAGCAGCAACAGCATCATCATCACCACCATTGCCATTATCAGTATCATCATCAGCATCATCATCACCATCACCATCACCGCCACCGTCACCACCAACAACAACATCACCGCCATCGTCGTCACCGTCGCCGCCGTCGTCGTCGTCATCAACTGCCCGCAGACGAACTGCTGCCTCTGCAAACGATGCGACACCTTGCTCGCAGCCGCAGCACGCGCGCGGGGGTCCGGGGCGGCCGCGGCAGAGCCCCCGCGGTGCCCGCGCGCGCACGCGAGCAAGCCCGCGGCGGCGGTGGGCTCCAGCGGGGCTTCCGGATCCTGGGCGGGGGGGGGGGGAAGGCCTCCACCTTCTCCTCATACACCTTCACCAGCTGCTCCTCCTCCACCTCATCCACCTCCTGCACTTCCTCCACCGCCTCCTCAACCTCCTCATACTCCCCCCCTCCTGCTCAGAGGAGCGCCAGTCGAGACAACCCACCTTTTGCGGCGGTGCTCGTTCTCTCTGGGCCGTATGCGAGACGCTGTCGTCGTCGTCGTCGCCGTCGCCGTCGCCGCCAGTATCAGAAACAACGTCGTGAGTAGATGTTGCTTCTTCCGTGGCCGGGGGAGGGCACAGGGGGGGGGGCGGATCAGATTGCCTCCCCCGGGGATCCCGGGGGGGGGTTCAACCTGTGGACATGGGGGGCAGGAAGGGCCCCTTTCGGGGAGGGGGCTTGCCCTGGTCCCGGCCCCGGCCCCGGCCCCAGCCCCGGCCCCGGCCTGGGAGGACGTGCCTTCAGGGTCGGCGGTGCAAGCTGTAAGGCCTTCAGAATCAGGACGGACCTTCCTCCTCCTCCTCCTCCTCTTCCACCTCCCCCTCCTCCTCCTCCTCCTCTTTCTCCTCCTCCTCTTTCTCCTCCTCCCCCTTTTCCTCATCCTCGTCGCCTTCCTCCTCCTCGTCCTCCTCGTCCTCCTCCTCCTCCTCCTCCTCCTCCTCTTCCTCCTCTGCTGCGCTGATTCACTTCATGGGTCCACGCTCATATTTCGCGCGAAAACGGACGCAACATATGGCGGAGGACGAAGGAAGCACCCAGGAAAAGAAGGAAACACGAGAGGAGAGAAGGCAGAGGGAAAACATATATAAGGTGTTTCCGAGATCCCCTGTGGAACATGTTCGGCCCTAGCATTCAGAGGCTGTCAACCGCTAAACATGTCAGCTGGACAAGGCGTCGACTGCCATGGGACTGGAATCGAAGTGCCGTCGTGACACGCGTCGTCGTCCCGCGTGCAAGCTTTAAGGCTGGATCGGCGGTGCG